ATCATCATCATGGTAGAGTCTTTTTAGGAGAAGGAGGCCACTCCTGTCATATTACATTCGAAAGGTGGTACTGCCAAAGTTAAGAAGCAAACACCATCCTCACCAGCATCCTCAGTGAAGGCTTCTACTGTGTGGCATAGTGCTATATCGGTGGCGAGCTCAAACAACACTCCAAGGTCTACTAACAATGCTTCCCCATCTCCTATAGAGGATGAAGATGATGATGAGGGTTTTGATTCCGACAATGGTGAAGACCCCTCAGATGATAAAGACCCACCCACGACGAAGATGCTCGTGTATGGGTATACAGCTCGAAGGAGGGCGAAGATGTATGATTGGGGTAAGAGGAATGGTATGGCCAGATGCTATCCGTACTATGGTTTTGTACATCTATGTGGTAGTAGCATTGAGTGGTTCTATCCCACAGGGGATGTGTTACTCGATGGATTCTTCCGGAAAGGTAAAAAGGAAGTCCGAATATGATACCTCTCCTCAATTGTTGCGTTAATGGTATTGTTGTCAATCCCCTGTGCACTGTAACCAGACAAAATGGCAGCAGCAGCAGTTCAGCCCGACTTTAGAAGGAGTACTAGGGAGTACACTCAAGTCTTCACCGATTCTAAGCATCTTATCAGCAAGTATTAACACTTCTTATATAACCGACTACAGTATATGTTCATAGGTATGGTCTCCATAGGCAAGCTATTAGAGACTTCCTCGAGCAATATCAGGATAAGAGTCTTAGCGACGATATTTGGGGTAAGCATGTCTACAGCATTCCAGGCCAAATTATTCTTTACCGACAAACTTGATTGTTCACCCATTTGGTTTTTTCGATAACATTTTATCCATGGTAAAATACCAAGCTAATATTATACCAGGTTTATTTGAAAGTTTAGGAGTGTAATTCAACTGAGACGCGCGCGGTAACCACGCGGTACTAACTAGTCAGTACGATTGGCTTTACATCGTGCGGCTCGTGAGATCAGTCGTACTGTTGGGGGATCAATCGTATCAGGGACTAAGAAGTACATGACTCAACTACAGAAGGTGGTTGATGGTCTTAATGACCGTGTTGATATTAGTTTGGATGATCTACAGCAGTCTACCATGGAGGACGGCCTTATTGAGGCTATTATAAAGAATACTCAGAGGTCAGACGGCTAGTAGTAGGATATGATTAGGAGGAGATCGTCACCTTAGATACCATCTCTTCTTCGTAGAGGAGTGTCATGCTATCATGCCTCAGCCCTCAGTACATTTCCAACCAAGTAGGCCAGCATGATATAATCATACCACCATCTAGTACTCCTCCTCATCCTCCTAGACCCCAATAGAGATGTAAGAGCCCAGAATGAGTGGAAGGAGGCTGTGGATGAACATATCACCTCACAGAGGGCCCTCGCGGGTACTGCTGATCCTCAGAACAAGATGCCTGAGCGAATGAAATGGGACTTTGTGGTGGGGCCTTAGATGGTGGTGGAAGTAGTCGGTCTCATCATAGTCTTCGTCGGCCTTTATTAGGTGTACATCCATCTACCTAAGGACTCTGTATCGACACCTCTACGTGAGGTTAAGTCCGGTAGTGTTGGTAGGTTCATCAAAATGGATGGTGTTGTTACCAAGGCCGCTGGAGGTGGGTGGGAAGCAGTCGAGTCAGCAGCAGCCGAACACTCCCCTCCGCTCAGTTAAGGCTAAAGTGGAGGTTGCTACATATCTGTGTGAAACCTGTGGGGAGACGATATGGCAGGTCATTGGAGTACATCGCTCACTCACTTCGAGATCTCCATGTTCATCAGGTTGTCGATTCGGATGCATTCATGCCTATTGGACAGTGTCCTACTCCTCGTTGCAAAACCAATAAAACTCTGGGTACTGTGAACCTCTTGTGGAAATCGTCTAAGTTCGTCAAGTAGTGGGAGGAGGCCGACTTCTGGTTGCTGTATATGGCTAAGTGGAGCTCAGATACCAAGAGGTAAGAGTTCAGGAGCCGAGCCATGCAGTACCGGTTGGATCGGTACCAAGGACCATGCTATTGGCATTAACCCATCACT